ACTCTCATGAGAAGAAAAGTGATTATAGATGCCACTTTTCCCCCAGGGTTAGTGTAGAAGTTTCAATCAGTCACCTATCAATATGCCTTTTGGGGGGGGGGGGTCAGTTTTTGGCCGGGGTCAATTTTGAACCCGCCACCTCCAATATATGGGGCTGGTGCCCTACTCCTTTGAGCTGCAGGCACCACCCCCAATATCAATATGCCTTTTTTAATACAGTTAAGACTCTATGGGTCACTGGTAACTGAATCAATTACTTCACAGGCCAAGTATCACCACGATGAACATTAAACATGACCCAACTTCTTTGTTTGTAATAATGATTTCTTAAAGTAAGGAAATTCTGAGCTAGGGTTTAAAAATCTTACAACCTAGCTAGACACAATGGCTCACACTTGTAATCCTGGAAGGGTGAGGCCAGAGGATTGTTTGAGGCCAGAAGTTTGAGAACAGCCTGAGCAAATAGCAAGACCTATCTCTACAAAAAAACAGAAAAATTAGCCAAGTGTAGAGGCACACACCTGCAGTCCCAGCTATTTGGGAGGCTGAGTTAGGAGGATCATTAGGGCTCGGGAGTGTGAGGTTACAAATAAGCTATAATGAGGCCACTGTACTCTAGTCTGGATAGCAGAGTGAGACCTCATCTCAAAAACTAATAAAATAAAAATCTTGCAGCCCTATAAAAAGTTATGACTGGCTTGGAGACTGTAGCTGGGGTGCCAGCCACATGCACCTGGGCTGGCAGGTCAAACCCAGCCCAGGCCTGACAAACAACAATGACAACTACACACACACAAAAAAAATAGCTGGGCATTGTGGTGGGCACCTGTAGTCCCAGCTATGTGGGAGGCTGAGGTAAGAGAATTTCTTAAGCCCAAGAGTTTGAGGTTGCTGTGAGCTGTGACACCACTGAACTCTACAGGGGGTGACATAGTGAAACTGTCTTAAAAAAAAAAAGTTGGCTCGGCTCCTATGGCTCAGCCGGCTAGGGCGCCAGCCACGTACACCTAGGGTGGCGGGTTCGAATCCCCAGCCCGGACCCGCCAAACAACAATGA